CCTTGCCCTACCGTGGAGGCTCCACTAACACTGGCAGGGCCATGAACTATGTCAGAGAGAAGATCTTTATTCCCGCCCGTGGAGCCAGGCAAAATGTGCCCCGTGTCATGGTCCTGATCACAGACGGAAAGTCATCAGACTTTTTTAAGGATGCAGCAACCAGACTGAGGGATATTGATGTGGAGATCTTTGCTGTTGGTGTGAAGGAGGCAGTGAGGTCTGAGCTGGAGGCCATTGCTAATACCCCCATAGAAACTCATGTCTATGAGGTGGAGGACTTTGATGCCTTCCAGAGAATCTCCAAGGAACTGACTCAGTCCATCTGTCTAAGGATTGAACAGGAGCTGCTCAAAATCAAAAAGAGAAGTAAGTAAGAAAGGTAAAATATCTCGATGCACTAAGTGTGACTTGGAGTGTCGACACATAATATGCTCCTAACTTAATGGGTATTTTGGATAACTACCATTTGCTAAGCTGTTCGTATCTTCATGTTTACCTAGGCTTATTAGACTCTCCAGCATCTGACTGTCAGTTGGCCCAGTCTGTATAAGTAGGTTTGAGCACAAGGAGCCAAGCAATCAAGAAAAGCAAAACAACACATTATAATACTGTGTAAACTGCTGTTGGGCAAGGCAGGGGCAACATTTTATAATCTCACTTAGCCTGTCACATACCACAAGGCCACATATGTGCTTATTGAATGAGCTCTCTCACACCATTTAGCACATGCTATTTGAAAACAGCACAGCGACAGGAACAACAATGTTATTTTGACTTGACCATATTTTGATTCAGAAGGATGGATTGGTTCTAAGACAGAAACGATCTGTGAGTCTTGACGTGACGTGCGATGTGACCTAAAATGACATCACTTTACACACTAAGCTTTTTGATACTGAAGCCTGTAGTCCCAAAACATACAACAGTTACTGGATATAGCATTCCATGCTTTGCAAATTCATTTAATACAGTGTTAGCTGAACAAAGTTCCACTGCTTTACATTTAATTGCTGCCAGAAATTGAGGATAATGCCCATGGTCATGCAATGGTCAGACAGTGAAAGAAATAAAATAGAGATACTGTTACCCCATAAACCCCACTTTTACAGTAAAATGTGATCATGGCAGTACCAGTTAATGACTCTACATGGTTAGGGAAATACATTGCCTTTTACTGACAGATATGATCAACAAATAATTTTTGATTTTCAGGTCTGCTTCCACCCAGAGACTTGCGGTTCTCTGAGATTACCTCCAGAAGTTTCCGTGCCACCTGGACAGCATCTGCCACCGATGTCTTGTCTTATCTGGTGCGTTTCCGCAAGGCCGAAGATGTCACCGGAGACTACATTTCCCTGGCAGTGCCTGGCGATACCACCACAGCCGTTTTGCCCCACCTTTATCCCTTAACCACCTACGAAGTTAATGTCTTTGCTCAGTATGATAAAGGAGACAGTTTCCCGTTGACTGGTGAAGAGACCACTCTTGAAGGTAAGACAGGTTTAACTGGACCTGACCTAATAGTACTTACATCATCAAAAGGAGAATATTTAGCATCTATGATAATCTTTCATTTTCAGAGCAAGGGACTGTACGAAACCTACGAGTTTCAGAGGAGACAACAAACAGTTTTAGGGTGTCATGGCAATCTGCTCCGGGTTCGGTGATCAGGTATCGCCTGACCTACGTTCCATTGAGTGGTGCTGGAGAGACATTGGAGACCCAGACCACTGGACCAGAGACTACCATAGTTCTTCACAACCTTTTTCCCATTACCACTTATCGTGTGTCTGTGTCTGCTGAGTACGCAACAGGCATAGGGAAAAAGATGGAAGTGGATGGTACCACTAAGGAATGTGAGTCAGAAGAGCTACCCGTCTTTAGGAAGTAATTTGTCAACAGCAAATTGAAAACAGCTACGTATGTGAAATTTGGTTTCTGTGCACTGAATATGAATTTGTGTCTGATCCATTTTTGTTTGCTTTTAGTACGGGGCTCCCCTCGTGACCTCCGTGTGTTTGATGAGACCATATCTACAATGAAACTGGAATGGCAGGCTGCCCCAGGAAATGTCCTTCAGTACCACATTGCCTTCAAACCTGCTGAGGGTGGTGAGAGGAAGGAGATATTCGTCAATGGCGATACTACCCAGGCTGTTCTGAAGAATCTCCAACCAGCCACTGAATATGAGCTGTTTGTTTCTGCTCGCTATTCCTCTGGTTTGGGCGATCCTCTTTTGGGCACAGGAACCACCTTAGAAGGTAAGGAAGGATGTCACATTGCCGTTGTCTAAGTCTGTGTGTGACATAAATATGAAGCATGCTTTGTAGTTGTGGATTCAGTAAGTGAAGACTGCTGAGAAGACATGTATTATTCTGTTCAGTTTCTTTCCAAGAGACAAGAAACCTGATATTACTTTGCTTGCCTCCGCTTGAGCCCCTCTAAGAGGGTAGCATCTGTTATTGCTCACAGGCGATGACATCAGAATTGAGGAAGTTGTGCCTTTAGTTGGTTGAATATATGGGCCATGGTTAGGGCGGGGGTTGCTTGTAAACTGAGAAACGTGTAATGGCTTGAAACAGACTTTGACAGGCATATGCCTGCTTAGCACCTTATGATTTATTGCTTTACAATGGTACACAAGACATATGATGACTATTTTATAATGACCCTCAAATCCTGTATTGCTCTACAATACCTGTACATAATTTCTGCTGATACCAACCAGGTTTCTGTAGCCCACAGAGGAGAATGTCTTTATATTTTAGTTAATTCCACTTGTGGCTTCAAAATCAGTAAACTATGTATTCAAGGGCATTAAAATACAACCCAAAATCAGAACAAGTTGGGATGATATGTAAAATCAAAATTAAAACTGAAAACAGTGATGTGCAAATCATCTATTTAAAGATAAACAATATTTGTCAGATTAGATGCATTGTTGGTTTGGTCAAAATGACAATGAAAGGGTAGAGCATTCATAAATAATTTGAGTCCTGGATCCTCTTTATTTATTGTTATTTGTGGCCCTTAAAGATTAGGCAGTGACTATTGTACACTGGGACTATGACAACTTTTACGTGCCAAGCTGAAAACAGCCACGTGGCTGTCTTTAATCATGTTCAAGTTGAGTTCACCGTTAACTGGATTGTTCTCTGAAAGCAGTTTGAGCCCACAGACACATCAAAGCTACAGTATTCAATTCATCATAATAGAAAGAGTGAAGTTTTTGCTCTTTAATACTACTTTCTAACATTTCTGGCAATAGTGTGGTCATTTGGCCAGGTGAGTTCCTGCACACTAGGTTACCTACCTGTAAAAGCACTTTGGCTCATACCGTGTCCTTTAGAAATTAATAGATTTTTTGCAACTACTATAATGGATCTTGTTTACATTTTGATAAGCACTAGACTTTAAAAGAAAGTTTTTTTTTATTTAGTTTTGTGGGTTTTTTCCTTTTTTTCTTTGTTTTTTTTTTGTTTGTTTTTCCATTTTCCCACACTGAACAAAAGGCTTGCATTTGATTATAGAGTTACTTTTCACTGGTCAAATCTGTGCTGTCATCAGCCACACACCCCCGCAGGAAAAAAGCTCCATGACAAAGTACTTTGTTTAGCAATCTTTATTAAGCTGTCATAACGTCATCATGTCTCAACACTGATTTAATTGTTCTGAGTGCCACTCACTTTGAGTGACCCTCTCTGTGAAGTCACTGTAAGCGAGAACTGGTAGAGAGTGGCGTGCACAAAGCCATCCCTTGTGGCTTACAGTGAATGGTAGCTAATGTAGAAGCCATGAGTAGGACAGAATTATAACATCCTGAAATGACTCAGGAGGGCAGAGAGGGTGTCACAGGGAATGCTTAGATACATGTCCCACATATGGCTCGCACACACAAACACAGAGGGAGTTTTATCCAGAATGTGGAGGGTGTTACGTAAGAGGACCTTGAAAGCTGTGTGAGCTGTCTGTCTGGTCTCAGGAAGAGCTGTCTGTTCATCTTCCTCCAGGGTGGGGCAAAGGGCAGGCAGAGGCAGCGAAAGAGCGGGAATCAGTAGGAAAAAATGGTACAGCGAGAATAAGTAGGAAAAAATGGTACATCAAAAGCAATAAAGTAAGTGAAGAGATAGAGCTTTTTGAAGAAATGTGTGATTATATGGAAGTTTACAGGATAAACATGCTCAGTGAAAGTCTTCTTGGTTCTTTTATATTCTTGGCTGTAATTTTTTTCTTTTGACTGAAATACAATATGCAGGTTCTGTGCAAAGCTATACAGTGGCCTAGAGGAGTGGGAAATCTTAAATGCATATCAAATCATTAATTTAATTAATTTGCAGAGCATGAGCTGGTAATGCTTTCAATGCATTTCCCCTGCCTGCTGGCACTGAGGTTTTTTCACAAGCAGTCATTAATATTTTCAAGCTTCAGATGTCTTTTGGCTGCAGATGTGAAGGTTATGTCAGCACATGCCCTGCAGGGATTCTTTTAGATGATCTTCAGTTGTGTCATGTGTGGTTTTCAAGAGACATGGGCGAGGCTTTAATGGGAGTTTGTGATCTGCCTTGTCCAAGGTCTTAATCTGAGGGTATAGCCTTGAAAAGTGAGATGCTTTTTCTGTGGTTGAGAATGAAACTAAGATAAGGAGGATACATGTGCAGTGCATATAAATTAATAATAATATGCAAACATTCAGAGAAGTCAGTCAATTTCATCTGTTCTTTTTGCTTGGCAGAACCTTATTGATGGAATGATTTGGTACTATTTACAAATGGCCCACACTATTTTCCTGCAAAATCCTGAATTATTGATTAGTGTGTGGTCATGCCCATTACTCTTCATATCCAGCTACTGCTCTCAGATCAATCTGCCTGACAAGCATGGCCGCTGCTGTTGTTTTATTTTTTATTTCACATCAGCTTCCAGTTCATCTGCATTGGACTGATGCTGAGGAGGAGTCATAGGCTGACAGATAGACACAGTACTGCCATATTTGCTGTGTGGTTACTTAGCATTTACAAATGATCGGGCATGGCACTTGTGGTAAATTGTGTTGCATTCTCATTCCTTGTGACTGGCTTTTTTGTGTGCATGTGTGTTTGTTTTTAATTAAATCTCATTTGGTGAGGTTTGATGAATGACGTTTGAGAGAGACACTGCCCAGCTGCTCCGTTCTAGCCTTGAATGAGGATGTGGAACCCAGAGGTTGTGGAGGTTATGTGTAGCAGATACAGCTCGTCTATACAGCAGCGAGACCAGAGTGTTGAGAGATGTTCTCAACATGGACATGTGCTGTCTGCTCATTGCGAAACACCACCACTACATTCCCGCCCCGCTTTTCTTGTGCCTTTCTCCTTTCAAGATGGTCTCCCAGGAAAAGTGAGGGAAGGAACAGAAGGGAGAACACAGCATCTGCAAATTGTAGAAAACATACTTTTGTGGATCAGGTTTCCACTGTTACGATGGAAAGTAAAAGTGCTGCTGGGAGCGGCGCTGAGATGTAAGGTGTAAGATTAGTTTTGCAGAGATTTTTCCAGCAGACTCTGATCATGAATGAAGAAAATAGAGCTGTTCAAACAGATCCTGAAAGGATAAAGCAGAGAAAGATGAGATGATTTTTTTGGAGGGTGAGTGTTAGTTTTGTCCATTTTGTGTCTCGCTCACTTCCTCAAGCCTCTGTATGTGCGCATTTGAAATCAACACCACCTGGACAAAGTCATCACTGGGCTGAAGCTCCCTGAAGCAATTCTGTTCCATTGTACTAACATCTCCATCTTAGTGAATCAAAGCTAAGACATTCCTGTGGAATTTTGTTTAGGAAAACAAAGGTTAAACTGTAGCACTGCTTTCTTTTCTATTGCCATATCCATTGCATGCAGGCCGGTGTAATATCTCTCCCACTGTTTCTGAAGCTCTTTTGATTTCTCCACAGAGCTTGGTTCACCCAGAGACTTGGTAACCAGAGATGTCACAGATACCAGTTTTGCTGTGTCTTGGACTGCGGCCCCGGGTAATGTTCGTCACTACCGGGTCAGGTGGAAGTCTCTGTTCAGTGAAGACACTGGGGAAAAGGCAATACCAGGTGACACCACAGACACAGTTCTGGAGGGTCTCACCCCAGAGACACGTTATCAGGTCTCTGTCTTTGCTGTCTATGGCCATGGAGAAGGCCAGCCGTTGGTTGGAGAGGAAACCACAGATGGTAAGTTACTTTGGCTGCTTTAACTCTTCCACTGTAAACCTATTCATTTTTCCTTTTACTTTTCTGCTTTTTTTCACTTTTTACAGCTGCACCTTTTGCCCTTTGTTTTTTCTTTTCTTGGCATTTTTATTATGCTTTCCGCCTATCTTTCTTTCCTCTTCTGCACTTTTATTTTTATTTTAGCATCTGGATGTCCTGGTTTGGGGTCACATACAGTAGAAAGTGTGAGGCATGGTATATGTGATGTAACTCCATGAAAATAAAAGAACAAAAGCCATGGAACACAAAGGGATGTCCAAACAGTTTGGAGTGCCATTTTTAGATGGTATGTGGAAACAGAGCTCTATCATCATTCTGTTGTGCTATGAGATCTTATCCCAGCTCTTGGTATAGAGTGATTTAGTAGTGAGTCCTAAAATCTGGAACTGAGTCAGCATTTCTGCACTTCTGGTTCCCTCGCCCTGATGTCAGTGGGTTTTTTGAATGGGTTTTTGGTTAGATGATTGAAATAAGACCTGTGGTTAACACAAGGTCACATCATTTTCACATTTTGTACTGACATAAAATATGCCAGTAAATACCCCCCTTGTGGCTTTTAAAGCTTTTATGTATCTCAAAAAAGGCTGCTTGTAACAAGTAGCTAAATGAGACTGCAGAGGCTGCCGGCGACATTAACTGTCATCACGCCAGACATGGAGACTCATCTACTCACTAGTCCACATTTACAGCTTTGTTATGCTTAAACTTGTGCACTTGCTGTGGTATTAGCACACACAGGCATGATTGCTGGCTTCATCTCTGGGGGAGGGTCTAACAAGCTAAAAAAGTTTGAATGACATGTTTTGGACCAATAATTGGAGAGAAATCATAAAAAACTACAAAGAGATAAGGTGTTTGAATTTGAATGAGTGCTCATGGTAATTCAGACACACACATTTATTTACTTATTAAATACATCTGAGTACCTGTTCTTGTGCTTCCTAGCTTAGACTTGTTAGGAAAATTGTAATGACCCTACATATGCAATAAAGGGTGGAATGGTCTGAGCACATTTTAACACAAATGTAATTTTGGGTCCAAATGAAATTGTACTGTGCTGCCTAGTCAGCATATACATGGCCTCAGTGGTGCCTCTCCTCCCACCTTAGTGTAAGCACATTCATTCATGGCAGGAAAGTGCCAAACACATTAATGCCCAGAAAAATAGACCTGTCCCCAAGAAAAATTGCTAAAAGCTTTTGAAGCTATGCCAGCTTTTCACTGGCAAGAAAATACAGTCCATTACAGTGCACATCATTAAAACTGTGTGTGTGTTATATGCATGTACATAGATGATGTATTATCCACCACACCTGCACCCAGTTTTAATGGGAGACAATGAACAATACTGGCCCTTCCCTTGTTAGATTACACTCCTACTTGGGCAAGAAAAGCACACTGAGCAGAAACTCACACCAGTTGGGAAGGAATTTGACCACCAGTCTGTGAAATGGAATGTGCCCAAGGAAAAATATTTCCAACCACCATTTGCTTATTGATTCTGGTAAACAAGAAGGGTGACACTAAACACAACCACGATGCAGCTTTGTATTGTATACTCGTCCCTTCACTGTGCACACACTATGTCTTGCTCACTTTTCTTACGCTCTACACAAATCACAAGTCCTGGGCTGAGCCACATATGGCAAACTTGAGTGTGCTGCTTTTTTCCACTGGTAAAAGTCCACCCTCTGAAGTAGAGCATCTTGAATATTTTCCTCGGCTCATTTTGAAGCCTCTGACAATTCATACTCTCTTTTCCTGCTCCAACAGAAAACTGGGAACTCTTGGTTTGCTCAAAATCACAAGACATCTGGGCCTGGCTTCCAAACCTATCAACTAAACACAATTAATCATGTAAATCCGGGCCTCTTTAATGTATAATTGTTAAAAATCTGAAATATTTAAGTGGGTTTGTAATCACATACATGTGGAAAATGAGCAGATACCTGCATGAAAGGATGTAAGGTAGCCAAGCATGTTACTGTTTAGTTTACTTACCAGCAGGAAAGCCATGCTGCTCGCATTTCCAACAGTATATTGAAAACTTAGGTCATTAAGAACACATTTAGTGCAGATTCCCATCTGAACAAGGCCCAAAGTCTATATTTCACTTCAGACCATCCATTCATCATTTATCCTTTTTTAACCTTTGCTCCTTTTTTCCCTCCTTGCAGTCTCAGCCGCTGGCAGAGCCATTGTTGTCTCAGATGAGACAGAGAAGAGCATGAAGGTGACATGGCAACCAGCGCCTGGAAACGTGGTCAACTACCGCGTTACCTACAAACCCCAGATAGGAGGGCGCCAGCTAGCAGCCAAGGTGCCCGGTGACACTACCTCCACCGTGCTGAGACGTCTTACTCCCCTCACTACCTATGACATCACTGTTGTGCCCGTTTACCGTGTCGGAGAAGGCAAAGTAAGGCAAGGAGTAGGAACCACACGTACGTTGGCCTATCATCACCACACTACAAATGTCGCTCTTTCTGCCAAGTTTAGGCAAATTTGATTATCAATTACACACTCACCCACATCCCCATAAGCAACATAAGCACCTAAATGACTAAAGCAATATCACAATAAATTCATGTATTTGTTCTTCATCTTCATTATATAGTAGTTAAAAATTTTGTTTTGAATGTTTAACCATGCAGTTCGCTTCATTATATAGTAGTTAAAAATGTTGTTTTGAATGTTTAACCATGCAGTTCTGTCCCATATTCTCAATCTCTGCATTTCTGTCTTGTCCAGTGTCACCTTTCAAAGGTCCTAGAAACCTCCAAACATCAGAGCCTACCAGGAGTAGTTTCCGTGTAACCTGGGACCCTGCTCCTGGTGATGTTAGGGGTTACAAAGTCACTTTCCACCCTGTAGGGGATGACATTGACCAGGGAGAGCTTCAGGTTGGCCCCTATGACAATACTGTGGTGCTAGAGGAGCTCAGGTGTGTCTTCAGGCCGATTTCTGATTTTCATTCTCATATTCTTAACTTTGAAGAATATTCTCTAGAATATCATGTAAAGAATTCAGAAATTCATTAACTTTTTTTGTTTGTTTTTGTTGTCAGAGCTGCTACTAAATATGCAGTGAATGTGTCTGGTATGTTTGATGGAGGAGAGAGTATGCCATTGGCTGGAGAGGAGAAAACCACTCTTTCTGATGGACCTGATGTACCTTTAAATGCACCAGGTAAAGCTGTCTAATATTCTCCTATAAAACTCACATATAAAGGATAATAGGTACTATAAAAACAAAGAAATAACAGAGAAAACATTCTGTATACCAAAACTATCTAGGACAGCTGAATGGTTTCCGTTGTTCTGTTATTACACGAACAGCTGAAATGGTTTCCGTTGTTCTGTTATTACACCCGTTGTCATCTTTAAGGCGGTGTTGCCAGTTTGTTATGTCTCTGGACAGTAAAACTCAGACAGTGGAGATTGTATCACTTTAGCTCAGGGAAATACACATAAAACCCACGCCCCATAAAAGCTAAACAGTTTCTCTAAATGCCTCCCTTCAAAGTCTAGTGAAATAAATAGTACAAGCCCATTTGTCTGCCCTTTTCCTGTTTTTTCATTGTGTCCCTTTGGACTCCCACTTTTTATTTCTAGTACAGCGAGTGTAGAGTTGAGCCATATGTGTATAATTTGTTGGTAGACATCAACTGGTTTACTACTTTGTGAGTCAGAGCAAGGCAGGCATTGAGTCTGAGAAGAGGGAGATTGTGGTATTCACTGGAGGGAACTGGGGAGGCCAGTTTGCCTGCTCAAGTGCAGGCCCAGGCCTAAAAAGGAGGCAGATGCAGAATCAGTGACAGGCTGCAGCTCCAAATGAGGAAGTAAAAGCTCTGGGAATCCCACTCCACTTGTACCATGGACTGACTCCATATTAGTTCTGAACATGCCTCTGGAGCGCAAGGACCACAGCTTCCTGTTTGCATTTCATCCTAGTCAATTGTTAGTAAACAGTTTTATAGTATCTGTGACAGATCTGTAATAGACCAACTTGCTGCATGTTATGGGGGTTGGGTTTGGGCTTTTCTGTGTGTGCAAACCAATCTGTAAATCAAATATGTAACCTGTTTTTAGTTGCAGACAGTGGCAGTTAGTGCAACATCTGCCTATCTCCGTTACACATCTGCAGCCTTCCTTTAGGTGCCAAGGATCAGATGCCTTCCTTGTCTTCACACAGCTGTTTGGATCTGAATATTACCTTGCTGCTCAGGAGCACACAGTAATTTCTCCATTGAAGGTCTTTGATATGTCATGGGCCAGTAAGGCTGTATTCTCCTGACGTGCCCCCTGGGACTAACTCTGGATCCCGGATCTGGAGTCTTGACAAGCCACAACACAAGAAGATAATAATTACAGCACCTGGAAAAATCAAAGTTTTTTGATTAAAACACCTCAAAAAAGAAAGAAGTAAAGAGGGAATACTTTGCTGATTATTTGTGGAGATGTTTGTTTAGTATTCTGGAAATTGTTTTGATGTCTTTGAATGCCATGAACTTTTCTTTCCATCTTTCCTTTTACACACATTTCTTTGAACACCCTCTACATCATTACAATTCATCATACACACCAGTTTATGTATGTGTCAAAATAACTTCTCATTTTAAAGTTTCACCTTCATCCAAATATAACACATTAACTTCTGCCCTCTCAGACGTGGCGTGTAAGACTAATGCACAGGCCGACATCGTGCTGCTGGTGGATGGCTCCTGGAGCATTGGACGTCTTAACTTCAAGACCATTCGTGCCTTCATCACCCAGATGGTGGGAGTCTTTGACATTGGTCCAGAGAGAGTCCAGATTGGTGGGTCTACAGCTCAACTGATTATTATTATTAATACAAAATTGGTCTTTTTATTTTGTCTAACTGGTGCGGTGTTTTCAGGTCTTGCTCAATACAGTGGAGACCCCAAAACTGAATGGCACTTGCATACTCATAGAACCCGAAAGTCACTCTTGGAAGCTGTGGCTGGTTTGCCCTACAAAGGAGGAAACACCTTGACTGGTATTTCAATCTATTTCTTTAAAGTTTTGCCAATGATAATGCTGGAGATCTGAAATTTTACCAGTTCTGTCTGTGCTCTTTTGACTCATAGTGAAATCTGGGTGATGAATGCACATTGATATCTTGATTGCAGGTATGGCTTTGAACTACATCCTCCAGAATAATTTCAAAGAGAATGTTGGAATGCGACCCAATGCTCGAAAGATCGCTGTTTTGATCACTGATGGCAAGTCCCAGGATGATGTCGATGTATACTCTCGAAACTTGCGGGATCAGGGCATTGAGATCTATACCATCGGTAAGTAAAGTTTACTCTTGACTTCCACCATTGCAGTCAGTATGAAGTAAATTCCCAAACTACAAATGATTATTGGCTTAACCTTTGTTGTTCAGGTGTGAAGAATGCTGATGAGAATGAGCTGAGGGCCATTGCCTCTGATCCGGATGAAATTCATATGTACAACGTGGCTGACTTCTCCTTCCTACTGGACATTGTGGACAGTCTTACTGACAACCTCTGTAATAGTGTCAAGGCAGGAGGTATATATGAATCTATATCACTCTACAACAATTACATGTCTGAATAGGAAATTAAACTGGTGTTACTGGGTACTGTAGAGGAACTTCTTGGCAAGGTTTTAGAGTCTCAGTAGTACTGTGGCGTAAACAAGGTTCTCTTTAGGACTTGCTCCAAAATAAATATGTTTTTACTTGTTGCCACTTCTGGTTTTTCTTTTTTATATAAAACTTTTGAAACTATGAAACTAGTTTATGAGAATGCAAGGTGATGTGTTTTGTTTACCTTTCAAAGCAAATGTAATTAAGTCTAAATCAGTGATTAGACTCATTAAAGGTCAGGCATACAGCACTTTTGCATGAGAATGCATAGTGTTGGCTCATATTGCACTTTCTGTCTTTCTGCTCTTTCATTTCATAGGACGTCTACCTGATGCTCCTACTAATCTGGTGACATCAGATGTGACTCACCAGTCCTTCAGAGCCACCTGGACCCCCCCTGATGACCCAGTGGAAAAGTACCGTGTTGTGTACATGACTTTGACAGGACAGCCTCAGCAGGTATACTTACCATAATGGATTACAACACCAAAAACACTCTCGACTGCCACTAATTCAATCTCACCAAAATATGGCAGTAAGTGTGGGTGTTCAGTGGATAATGGCTTAATGGTGTCCTGACCCCCTGTTTCTGTTACTAATGGGCTCAAAGCTCTATTTCCAGCCTTCTGTTTGTTTTGGCCTCCCGCCTGTTTGGTGTCTGATTACATGAGTTTGGCACAGGGCAAGGAAACACAAACACATGACGTTCAGTTTAGAGGATTAGAAAACACATAATGATTTCATGAGTGATATCTCTATTGGCCAGCAGGGTCTTGGCTCCACAGTGTGTGGAATAGATGCTATCTTTGTGTCTGAATCCAATTACATGTTTGTTTTTGTTCAGCTCTCCTGGTTTTGTTTAATAGTGACCATAGTGGATGAGGTTTTATTATTGTTTAAAGCACATGCTTAGTTTCAGGCCAGCAAAAAATTTGTCTGAGGGTTTTCTGGTTTTGATTGGAATGCTTTAACATATGCTCAAATAAATCCAGCAAATAGAGCTTTTTGATTGTTTTGCTGCTAAACTGATTACCAGCAAAAACTTAATCTCTCTTTCACATGTATTTGCACTTATAATAAGGATAATCAAACATATGTATACATAATGTTTGGATAATATATCTACAGACATTCAAACTTCATCAAAGGTCATGAGTAAAAGCTGTGAGCCTAAGACATTACAGAATAATATAAGAATCCTACAGATTATTACATTAGCTGTGATCTGTGATCTAAACTATTCCCTGTGTTATTAGGTGTTGGTGGATGGTGAAGAGACCACAGTGGTACTCCAGAAACTCGACCCTCTGACAGAGTACCTGGTCAGCGTCTACTCCGTGGTGGGAGAGGAGAGCAGCGAGCCTCTCAAAGGAAGCGAGACCACGTGTATGTCTTCTTTTTCTAGGGTTTTGGCTCACGTCCAGGTCTGTGTCATGTGATTTAAGGTGTATAATTGTATGGCAGAAAAACATGGAGAATGGGACTGTAAGCTGCCTAATTACTATACTATTTAACTAAAATTGGCCGAATGCTCTCTGATCACTGATGTGACTAAATTATGTTGAACTGGATTAAAGAGACATGCTCTCAATCATAGACTTTCCTACTTTAGGAAAAAACCTTTACTTTTTTTGGATAGCAGCTTCCCTCTGAGTCAGCCAGCAACACTGAAACTCTCTGGCTCAGTTGCATAATACATATTTACTACAGTGAGTGACTGCGATTCCTGTGTGGTCTCCATTAATCAAATGTTAAAAGGTAGTATATACATATATATCTTTTTTTATAAAACCATATGCGGTTGCAAAAATATAGCAATAGTAAATCTCATTTAGATGCAAATTTTGGGGTAAAGTGCAATTTCATTTCTTTCTTTGTTTCCTTTAAAATGCTGTTTATTGAAGTGTTATTAGCATTCTCTAGAATAGCACAGATTTAATACCATTGTTTAGTATCTATTAAAGCAGTTCTAAAACAGCACTGATTGTTGCACATTGGCAGCCCACACAAGTCTGAGAAAGTCTCTCTGAAACAAACAAACAAATGAAAGAGAATAATGCGAATGTCTGTGTATATTTGCTGATTGTTGTCTTTGATGTTGCTGGCTGGTTATCCAGTGCCCTTGAGTGCCGTTAGGATGATGGACATTTATGATGAGCAGTCCACTACCATGCGGGTGCGATGGAGGAAGGCGGATGGAGCTACTGGCTACATGCTGCTCTACAGCGCAATCAATGCCACACAACCCACCGTTGAGGAGGAGGTAAGAGCCAGCGGAGAGTGACTGAACAAAAGGGCATACAGCCAGTCCCCTGTGGATATCACAGACTTTGATGAGGAAAAAATGTATGTCTGCACACACTCATGTGTACCAAACATATGTAAACACATTCTACCCGAAGTGACGTCAACCAAGTGTCAGCAGTTTTTGACAAAATACAGATGTCACTCTCTGAAATAACATTTTACAAAGCCACCAGTGTTTGCCTCAACCATTCAACAAACAAGGCAAGAAAGGAAAATACAGAGGAGCATTGTTATTCACACAAGAGTAGGTGAACACTGTGCTCACTCTGCCAACATCATGAGATGTCAAACCCAGTGGGTCAAAACGGCATCCAGCGGATGTGCCGCAAAAGAGCATTGTTTCTATATTTTTCTATCAATGCCACTGAGGACCCCCCCAATCTTCTATTTCACCTCTAAATGTATGTTGTTTGGTCTGGTTTCCTTACAGATGAGAGTGGGGAAAGATACAACTGATGTCCAGCTGGTGAACCTACTCCCCAACACGGCTTACACACTGTCCCTCTTTGCCCTGCATGGAGAATCAGCTAGTGACCCGCTGACCAAGCAGGGTGTCACCCGTATGTAGTCAATGAATCATTAGTTCATTTCAGTAAGACAGTGTTGATTTAAAGAAGCTGCTATTTCTTTTTGTTTATCGGTGATACCTGACATTCTGGAGCTAC